CGTTAGGCCATAAGGTGTGTCGTCCACTAAGACCACACCCCCAACTGTTACTCTCCATACTTTGTGTGGATTCGAAGGTGATGCATCTTTGATGTACAGGACTGATCCAAGAGCGCTGTCAATTTCCTTGCTTGCCGAATTGCTGGTCAACAATGCGGGATTCTGGTCAGCTGCAAGACTGAGCAGTCCGAAAGCTGGGGGCCGCCACCTGAGCCTGCGGAGAACGGTCGAATATGAATCAAGGTTGGCCTCAAGATAGGAGCAGAGATCCGCAGTGCCACACAAAATCCATAGTCTAGGCTGCCAAGTCCCTTCACGGCCCCGTTCCATCCTAATATCTAGCGAGTATCGAACATCGTCAGTGTCGTGATGATCTGGGCTTCGCATGAGATATTCAATGTCGCCTCTTAAAGAGACTTCAATGTCGCTTAGCTCTTGGTGAGCAATCAGGGGAGTATGTGGTGGCAGTCTGTCCTCGAGACGCCTGTATTCGTGTCCGAAGTGATCGACCAACTCACGGTATACCTGCTGGAAGTGACGTCCGATGTCTAGCTGGAACATGATGAAGTGGTTGCCACCAGGTCCCCGGGTATCGTGGTGTAGCAATGACATCTCTTCGGCAGTGAAGTATTGGTTGGAAATCTTGACGGGGAAACTTAGCGTCCGGAAGAGGGATCTGGGCTTTCACCGACTATGGAAGATGAGCAGCGGCAGCGACCAAATGAAGGCAGAAAATGAAGGCTGCGTCTCTTGATATATTTCTTGCAGAATCTCATGTGAGCAACGGCAGTGGGAATAAGTTTCCGTCTTCTTTATCTCTCGGGAGAGTCTTGAAAAAGGCATTCCGCCGAACGGTGTGGTTTCATACGTTATGCAGCAGGCGGTTGGTCTTGCTCTGACTGACCAGTCAATATCCAGTCTTCTACACCCGCATGGATCACGCGGTCCTTGTGCGCATGGGAATGCAACAGATGCAAGCCAGGCTGCATGTTGATCCGCTCTGCACAAATACGTGGCTATCTGCAAATGCAGTCAAATCCCACAAGGTCGGCACATTATTTGTCGAGGAGGTTGAGATGGTATTCTTTCCCCAACTAAGCCGTCTCATTTGCCGAGAACCTACCTGAGCCCTCGGATGAGTCTCTTTCTCAATTCTCTTTTTTCACTTGACGCCCCCAGTCTTACTGCCGACCTTAGGTAGTTCCTCATGCTCGCTTCTTGCACCCGGAAAGCCTTCTTCGGGCAGATCACACAAGTGGTTTGTATCCATCTGATCTAACTACCATTAAGTGAGCGACTGGGCATGTGGCGATGGACGATGAACGCAAAAGAATCATACTTGGCTGGTTTGGTATTGCATATCATTCTCAGGTGAACGAGGATGGGCACCATTCGTATTTTGATTTCATCCAGCGGAATCTGGCAGACGAGCCGCCAACGGCACAGAACGAAGCATTCCGACTTGCATCGGAAGCGGTATGTTTGCTTCTGAGGTCTACATCTGATACAAACAACAACGATTGCCCAAGGCCAGGCACAAAAGCCGAGATTTTGATGAGATTGAAAGAGAGCAATGGCGAAACCGAGGATCAGGGACTGAAAACCGCTATGCATCGTGCTGTCCGCCTAATATTTCGAGTTAATTCGATGATTGATCGGAAGACGAACTGCGCAAGTTGCCCCCGACTGTCCTGACGAGAAAACAGTCTCGGAATACGTTCGTAGTGTTTTTGATGCAGGGAGGATTTCGTCCTCTTCAGGTTCGCCACCCTGTTCAGAACCCGACGACTCGGAAATCGCTGGCATCCAGGCGCGTCTAACGCACCGGTTGACCGCGGTGAACATTGAGAAATACACCAAGATCAAGATCAAAGAAACCCTGTCCCTACCCTGGCATCTCAAGCTATACGAGACGTATGATTACACCACTCTATTCGTGTTTAAAGACATGAGGTGGCTCTTAGACGTTGTGAAGATGGAGCACGTACACCGACAAAACCTTCTCATTGTTTTATTGACGAAATACATAGAGACTTTGTGGTCCCCAGGGAAGTCATCCAAGAGACAATCGACACGCTTAATTACCTGTATCCGAAAGACAGGGCGACTGCAAGATTGCTCGAGAGAGAAGGAATCAACATGCACGAATATCAACCTTCGAATCCAGATCGACCTCGTTTCAGGGACTTCAAGTATTACAAGCCACGCATGGCAGACGTTGCTTACGAGTTTCTCAACCCACCGAGAAGATGGAAGACCATTTGGAAAGACAGACGGAACCCCATGCAATTCTGGACCTTTTGGCTTGGCCTCTTGATTTTCTTCTTCACCCTTGGTTTTGGTGTGGCTGCTACGATCCTGGCTGTTTTACAGCTAGATGTGGCACGCCGACCTCCGAAAAGTGAATGAAGTGTCTGTCAGTCCTTGTGTGACAGTGTTTTGTTTTTAGTTGAGTTTAGGAGCTGAGTACTTCAAGTCAATAAACCCCGGGAATAGCGGCGATTCGAGACCATTTAAAACTGATTTTCTTTGTCGGCCTTGGTTCCGACGTCACGGCTACAGTCCTAGCTGTCTTGCAGCTAGACATCATTGGCATGAAACCTGCCGAACATGAGTCGAGTGTCTGTTGGGGGTGGATGATGATCCGTTGTCTCGTTATCTTCAAACTAAGGTGGGTTAAGCAGCTAAGTGATCAAAAAATATCGAAATCAACAGACAGTATGTGCGACAGCTAAGGTAGTTGTCAGTCACTAGTCGAGTTACGTCAGGCGTATGATTTATGGCAGCATATGGCATGTTCAACCACCTATCACCATGAGTATGGCCTTAGGATTTCGATCTGCGGTAGGAAATGGTAATCGCCTAGAGACTCTCGCCCACCCGCGACTCAGACAAAACCCAAATAGATTACATCCTCAATCCGCATCTCCACCGTGAAGTTCTCTTCTCCCTTAACCACCAAGGCAGAATGTCTCCCTTTCGACGGCAAAAGCATTGCAGAACCCAATCCCAAGTGTGACGGAAACTCTCGGACTCCTTCCATCAAAGTATGATTCACAACCAACTCATTGCATCTTATAAGACGTGTGTCACACTTGAGCTCCATCCACAAGCCCCCGGCGGGCTGCTCCGTTCCCCACGAGTCAGGCAGCCTTACGAGGCTCAATCCGAGTTCATCGCATGATGTCCGGCACCCAGGCAGTCGGTAAAACAGGCACATTAACCGCCGGACTTCGCGGGGTGCCGATTCACCGCCAGGACCCTGAAGTACCTAATTATCCCGGCCAGATAGTGGTTAGGTTTCTGCTCGTGTTCATATAAGTTGTGTTCTTGGCCCGCTAGACGAAAGGCTTGAGTTGGCACCTCCCCTTTCCCTACCCAGCTATTTCGATTTCCACCCTCATTGAAACATACCAAATATGCGTTTGTCCACCTTCCTGTCCGGCGGTCTGTTCGCCATCTGGTAAGGACCCCCATTTCTCCCCATTGTACTCTTTCGTCACTCGGAATATTGACATCGCCATTTCTAAAGCGCCCTTGCCGAGACCTCGGGCTACTGCTGCACCAGCAACGACAAGCAACAAGTCGTCCCGCACAACGACCAGACGCAGGACTGCTGTCGGGGACGTTTCGACGGCGTAAGTTGACATCAACCCTGACTAATCCGTTTCCTATTAAGCAATCCCATGTTGAAATATTCTAACTCTTTGTAGACGGAATGCTGGATTCCCGACAACGGACTTGACGCGCTTACGAGCTGTTGCAAGGGCAAGGGAAGCGCCATGTGCGCCTTTTAATTATTTGATGCAAAACAAATCTTATGTGTATCTAGATATTACCCAAAAGTGCAGCGGGGATATATCTGATGTCGTAATGAAAGCACTTAAACCAGCATCATCGCCAAACGCCCCCTTTCCTAAACTTAACAACGCACACAATCTCCCTATTGTTCAAGGTAAATCACGAAACACCAAATAAACAAGGTAAAAAACAAAAACTCCTCGCCCCTCATCCATACCCTTCACTCTCCCAGAACCTCATGTATTCAAGCCCCAAAGTCTCCAAAATTTGAAGCAGAATCCCTGAATACGTGCAATATATCTTCCACCCAAGACAAATCATTGATTAAAAGACATATACCCAGGCCGCTCCAACTCCCCCTCCTCCAAATCTTGCCTACACGCCTCGCAGAACGGCAAAAAGCCCTCGAGGCGGTCGACGCGGCCGACGGGGCAGTACGGACGTGTGCACATCAGCCCGTCGGCGCCGCGGACGGGGAGCAGCACGCGCTGCGGGCACTTGTGCACGACTGAGTAAGCGCCCATCACGACGCGGCAGAAGTGGCATTTGTTGGTTACCTTGAGGGTGCGGCACATCTTTTCTATCTTTCCGGTTGTGTCCGGTTCAGTCTGGTTCAGTAGGTACGTGGTGGTGAAGGACGAGTTGGCGGGGGAGGAGGTGGTTGGTGATGCTTTGGATTGGAGGTTGTGTCTGAGGTCATTAGTATAGTGAGAAGAGGCATCAGAGGCATTCTTAAATAGGCTTGCTTAAGACGTGGTCGAGATGGTGAATTGGGAATGGGAACAGTCTTTGTGGGGTTTAACAATGTTACTGTTTTGGGAGTTGGAGATTGTCGGGGGACAAACCGGTGAAAGGTCGTCTTTGAGAATGATCCAAGAGAGCCCCATGTTGTTCGCCATGAACAATGACTTGTTTTCTTTCTCTTTCACAAAGTCCCCGTGCTGTATGGCGGGTTCTTCCTGGAGGGCTACCTGAGGGACATTGATGTTGACGCTGACAGTGACTTCTCGTCTTCCAATTCATCGCGAGTCGCCCCCCTGATCGATGGAAACACAAACATCATGGTAGCACACCATACTGTCTACAGTCTTCATGTTTCTATGTCTCTGCTAATGCACGTTGCCTTTTAGCCTCTTCGTCCCTCCTATGCATCCCAAACAGCCCATCCCCAAACTCCAAACACCCCGTTTCCCACGACCCTAAAGCCGTCCCGTCCCAGGCGGCATCCGGATCCCCAAGCTAGCCATCCCCTTCGCGCCCGTCCCGACCTTCTTCGCCTCGTCAACCCGGGCCCTCTGCAGACTAAACCCCGGCGTGACCCATCCGCCGCAGCTGCACCGGAACCCCCTCCAGCTATACCTCCCCACCGCCGCGCCGCACTTGCCGTTGGGACAACACAGCCGGCCCTCGAGGGCGCCCTTCTCGAGCTCCTCCCGCATCCAGCTCAACGGCTCCACGAACAAGTGCCCGCATTCTCCCTGCGCCTGGCCCTGCGGCTCATGCTCGAGCACGAATCGCGGCGTGGCCAGCGTCCGCCGGCACTTCTTGCACCGCAGCTCCTTTCCCTCCCCCTCCCCGTCCTCCTTGACCTCCTCGTCCTCGAACCGCAGCCTCGACGGCGCCTGTCCCGCCGCGACGCTCTCGTCAATCTCCCGCTGGAACGCCCACCGCTGGTAAATCGGGTGCCCCTCCACGTCCGCGGGGCACCCCATCGCCCACCACATCTCCAGCTGCGCAATGAACCCGGGGTTCGGCTCCGCGATCTCTCGCGTGTTACGCACCCACTTCACCGCCGCCTCGACGGCCTCCTTGGCGCGCTGCTTCACGCCCGCGGCGGTCTTCTCGTCCATCTTCGACAAGGACGCCTTCTGTGCCGCCTCGGTCGACGCCTTGGACCGGCCGAAGCGGCCCGGGTGTTTCCACAGGAGGTACGCCACGACGACCGAGACGGACCGCGACTTGCCCATGGCGCAGTGGACGTACACGGCCGGCGGCTTGCTCTCGTCCGTCTTCAGCTTCAGCTCGTCGAACTCCTTCGCAGGGGGCGGGGCGTCATCGTTGGCAGGCGTGATGGCGTCTGCATCCTCGGCCAGGTCCTGCTTCACAGCCGCCTTGAGCTTCTTTTTCTTCTCCTCGAAGCTGTCCTCATCTTCGGCCTCCTTCTTGCCCTCAGCGGCCGCCGACCCAGGATGCAGCCCCTCCTCAATGAAGCGCACCGCCGCAGGCAGATGCACCAGCAGATCCGAGTCCTCGACGTCGTCCACGTCAATGACCATGTGCTTGTAGCTCTTGCCGTAGTTCTCCCACGTGTCCGTCTCGCTCCTCAGCCCCGCGGGGTCGAAGCGCACGACGGAGAGGATGTGCGTGATGTTGCGCTCCTTGAGCGCCGACGGGCGGCGGAGGGCCCAGATGCTGGACGTTGCGTCGTTAGGATGGCGGGGTTATGGAGGGGCAGGCAGGTTAAAACTCACCCGCCGACGTAGAGGTCGTCGTTCCCATCCACACGGTTCAGCGCCATCTCAACGCAGCTTTTCCTGATGAGTTGGTGTAGCGCCGCAGCCTGCTCCTGTCCGTCGAGATTCTCAAACGGAATTTCCCCGTCGCTGGTGCCTCGTGTCTGCCGCGTCGTCTCACTCTCCTCCGCGTTGGCGCCAAGGCCCATGAACACACACGCACTTTTTCTCGTCCAAGGCGGGGCTACGTCCGTCTCTGTCCCTCCTGCTGACCGGAAGGCACCTTCCGAAGTGTGATGAGCCGCTTGGAAAAAGCAAGGAATTGGACGGTGCAAATCGTAAAAGCAATTCCGCGTTGCTCGGTGTAAAAGGTGCTGCGATATGAGAATGACGCAGTTGACGCAGCGCTTGGGGAGAAGGTGAGTAAGGTTTGCGCCGGAAAGAGTCAACGTTCCCACTTTTCGTGTATCCGTAGTGTAGGTACTGCAGTCAGCGATGGCAGCAGGTGCGTGCTGCGGTGCTTGTTCCTGCTCTTCTCCTTCACCACCACCAATTCGCTTGCGGCAGGCACCCGCGGTAAAGGTTCGGATTACCTCGTGGCACCAGGCACCCTCCCCTCACTTCGTGACTTCTCCCCCACCAACACAACATACAGGGCAGGTACGGATAGGTACTACCACAGCAGCCCGAGTTGCCCCTCACCAAGACATTTTCTTACAGCAACCCGACCCCACTAAAACGTGACCCTTCCAAAAGAAGAAGCCGATCGTTTTTCTCTCCCTCCTGCTTTCTCGCCGCACCGCCCCCGTCCCCCTTCGCCACACTAAGGTAGTGATCGCCGCATCTGCGAGTGGCTTGTAGGGCTGAAGTCATGTGACGTTCGGCGGCCTCTCTCGTCCATCACGATGGCCATGATGGTGTTGAGATCCATACGGATACCCAGGCCAGGGAACATGTCCCGACGCTGACAAGATGGCCGTTGTGCCAAGAAAGCGCCACTACATCACTGTGAAGGATGCATTTAGCGAAATACTCATCCGCAGGATTGCCCTCGGCCCTTGTTGTCGGGCAGATCATCATCGACACAGAACCAGACTTCAGTCACCAGCGGCACCCAGAGTATGTTTTGAATCTTCTTGTTGTCTTATACTATTCTTATTCGCTACTGACCAACTTGTTTTTTCCCGGAGCCCGTACAAAATACAACGCGGACTTGCCGCTCTTTCTAGTGCCATCATGTCATCATGTCGCTCCCCTGCTCTGGCCCAACAATGCCTGGTATTTCCTCCAATAAATATGAAAACATGTGCAACTAGACAACTTCCATCAGTATATACCCGGTGCCTGAAAGCCCCCTTGCTGCAATCACCAGTACTCCAAAAGCTCCGAAGTGGCAGGCCTCCACCTGTGGACACCGAGCCACATGCTTGAATCGACTACTTTTGATTTTTTGATTTGCTCCAGCTGTCAGAGAGCCGTCTCGTCCACAGCCAAGAGCGGGTATTTTCCAATCCTTCAACTCTGGATAAGCGAAACGAAACGAGATGTGTGATGTGGCCATCATCAGTGCAATCCAAATCCCTGGTTGCCGCCGCCAAATTATCGCTTTGCGCTGGGAAACGATTCCTCGTCGGGTATCCAAGTCGCAAATGCCGCCCCTCTCACTCGTCCTTTGCCGCAAATAATGCCCTCCACTGCATCCCTGCGGAATGACTCGTGCTCGCGGGGCTTGCTTTAAGCTCGACAACCTCCTTACTCGACACCCATCGCCTCATTCCAGCATGTCGGGTCTTTCAGTCACTTGTCGAGATTGCTCCGGTTGATCGTCTCTACCTGGGGGTGGGATCCTCATCCAGCATGCAGGCGTTCTCCAACATGTTGGTCCACTTTCCGCTGGTTCCAGCGTGGCTGTGCTTGAGGTGCTGTCGGAAGTGGTCTGCGCGGAAGAACTTCTTGCTGGCGTTGCACTCCCGGAACTTGTGAACCTCTTGCAGGTGGCGGATACGCTCCTCCCAATCCTGGTCCGTGGCATGACGGGGTGCCGTCGCACCAGGTCCCCGGCCGTTGCGCGGGAATTCCTCTCCACAGTAGCCGCAAGTGTCAGCTTCTCCGGGTCGGTTGGTGCTGTCGTGGAAAGCGCGGTCGTAACTGTGCAGAGCCGAGCAGCTCCAGCTGTGTCTGCGTACGTGGAGACTGTTCTGGTGGCGTTCCGCTTCATTCTTGTTCTTGAATCGGTTGCCGCAGAACGAGCACTCGTACTGCTTCTCTGCCTCGTGTGCGCTATGTCTGTTAGTGAATTGTCTCGTGCGCGTTGGAAAACCCGAACTTACTGTAGCTCTTCGGCCGTCTCGAACTTCTTTGGCTTCTTGGGACAACAGTCGCACATGAAGAAGCCCGAGATCTTGGCGCTGCCAGGCTTGCCAACCTCGGCGAGCTTGCGCGGGGAAGCGAGTGGCCTGTTTTCGCTGATGGTTCGCTGGTGAGGCGCACGGGACAACGAGCCACGAGGTGAGGGGTTCAGTGACATGGACGCACTGTAAGGCGAGCTGCAGCTAGGGTCGGTACCGTTTGGTGAAATGCCGCCAGGTGAGATACCGCCGGGAGATACACGTCCATACGAAGACGCACCCATGCTGGCGATGCTGCCAGTGAGCAGCGACAAATTGGAGCTGTAGGAACCGGCGCGCCCGCTGGAGGACACAGAGGTTACAGACCCTTGCGGGATGACGCTCAATCGGGGCGTGGGGGAGCCTCTCGAGTTACCATCGCGGCGACGCATCAAATCGCCCTGGGTCGTGAAGCCAATCGGCACACTGTCGTCGGGGTCGGCCGATGCGCGGCGCTTGACTCCTGCACCATCATAGTGCGCTCGCAATGGGTCCTCGATACGTAGTCTTTTCATTGAGTTGGTCTCCTCCATCTCCATATCCTCCACCTCGTAACTGTGCGAAGATGCATCGTCACTGTTGTTCCTTCTTGACCTGGTAGGCGGCGAGTATTCTTGGCCCAAGTGGAAAGGCTGGCTTCTTGGTGAGGGCGTGACGGCAGAATGAGGAGGAGTGTTGGTGTAACTGTCGGGCGAATCCAGCACGTTTGTCTTCAGGTGATACGGCAGGGTCGCGGAGGGCATGGAAAGCGGAGATCTCAGGTCACCGGACAATCTTCTCGAGAAGGGGTCTGTGGAAGAAGCGCTAGAGGCACTCAACAGAGACACGCTCGGCCTGTTATCAAAGGTCTTTAAAGGGTCGAGCTTCTTCTTCATGTCGGTGAAGGCGTCAGCGCCGGACTGGAACTGGAACTTGTTGTGGTGCAGTCCGAAACCAGCACTAATGCTTGGCAATGAGCATTCGGATCTGCAGAACATTGGCTCGTTAGCACATTGAACCCAAGACTGACAACAAACATTGGCTGCTGAGGTTGTAGAGGCCGACTTACCTAGACGAGGCCGAGCCCATGCTGGCATAACCCTCATCTCGTTCGTGCCTGTAGCCTGCTCTCTTGTAGTGAGGCCTGTCATCGAAGCTGCTCAAGCTATCGTAGCCACCGTGTTCCCTAGGGCTGTAGGATGACGGGTCGCGGTGGTATTGTCTGGGCTCCTGTTGAGGATGCATAGGACTTTCAAAAGGCATTCGTGGAGGAGGTAACGGGGGCGGCGCGTTGATTCCTCTGTCTGAACCAGGAATGGATACGGCAACAGAAGACGAGTACATGCTGAACGGGTCCGATCGGTCGGAGGATCTGGGGTTCGAATCTATAAGGATGCTGGGAAGGCCAGCAGGCTCCCTGTATCGTGATGGCGCCTCCATGGTGTCGGCTAATATCTGTGCAATGACAGCTGAGGCTTTGTGTCAATCACAGCTGAAGCGGAGGCCACTAAGGTTTATAGTGACGGCAGCACGGGCGTCATGGGTGATGCGCCAGGGGGAAAAGAATTGAGATCGCGACGGGATACGAGATGTGTCCGAGGCCAAGGAGGATGCGGTGCAGGCCGTGGGTGGCGATGAGGGTCGGGTTCGCCGTTGGTTGGGGCCGGGGGCCAATGCCAATCCAATGCAGGTCGAGAGAGAAAAAAAAGAGCCTGTCTCTGTGTTGTTGTTGTTGGTGGACTGTCTCCCTGGACGGAGCGGGCGAGTTGGAGAAGAAAAGACAAGACAGCGGCAACGGGAAACAGGCAAGCCGACCGGTACTGGAATGGGAATTCGAAAACGAAGTCGACGAAAGAGGTCGTAGTTGTACACGGGACAGGGCGAGTCTGGCGATCTATTCGCAGACAAGACAGGTAGAAACAGCAGAGGACCGGACGGCGTCGAGGAATGCGAAGTGCAAATGTCGTCGGAGGAAGAGGAGTGGCCGGTGCTGGGGTGGGCAGAGTTCGGGTCGATGTCGTGGGGAGCGGACAGCTGAAATAAGAGGCGATGTGTGACGACGCCGCTGAACCCCGGGGGGCTTTAAGGCAAAAAGAGAGGCGACAGGTCGACAAGGTATGGGCGGGTACTGCTTCTGCAATCCTTGTCGAGAGCACCCTACCTTAGACCTTAGCAGTGGGTTGTATTCTGGGTAAGGTACTTGGGCCCGGTACCACCCAGGATGTGCGAGGGCAGGGCAAGGTAAGGTACTTGCTCCTAGGTCCAGGACCAGGTCGGGTACGGCTAGGGGAGGGTAAGGGTAAGGTCGGTAGGTACCTAGCCTGGGTAGGCAGTCCAGTCAGTGGTGTCAAGGGTGACAGGTGAAGGAACAAGAGAAGCGTACGGTGGGCGTGGAAAGGACTGGCGTGGTAGGGCAGGTGGAGATGGAAGAGTGAGGAGAAGAAGAAGAAGAAGAAGCCCTGCTGGTGCTGGTGCTGGTGCTGGTGCTGGTGCTGGCGTCGGCAGCGGCAAGCAGAGCGCCCAGTAAGCGGTAAGGGTCAGAGGGGTGTGTGCACTACACTACTCTCTCGGCTGTCTTTCTCTCTCTCTGTCTCTCTCTCTCTCTCTCTCTCTCTCTCTCTCTCTCTCTCTCTCTCTCTGTGTCCCTCTCCCGTCTCTCGCACTGAAAAGGTGTGTGCCGTAGGCAGGTACCCTTTGCTGTCGTTCGGTCGAGGATGAGGAGAAGGAGGAGGGGGGCCAGCCAGGGCAGAGAAGAGCACAGGGGACAAAGTACCGCTTTTCCTTCCCCTTCCTTTCCTCAAGGAGACAGGTCGATGGATAGCCAGGTCGGACCAGTGCAAGGCCCAAGTCAGGTCAAGACAAGGACAAGACAATACAGGAGGACTGAGAGCCTGTCTACGCCGTAACAGTATGTAGATGAAGGAGTGCCCGGTAGAGGCAGAGGTAGAGATGGATCGCTGGGTAGGCAGGAGAAACCTGGGAATGAGGAGACGCACAAGACAAGACACGCCCACACGCACACCACACTCACGTACTGCGTACAGCGAGCGGGAGAGGGGATAGGCCAGCACGGATAGGATAGGAGAGGAGAGGAGTGAGTGGATGGGTGGGAGGGACAAGTTACAACGGGTAAGGTAGGGTAGCGGGAACGGTGTCGGCGGGCAGCCCTAAGAGGAATAGGATGCGGAAGGACTGACTAGTAGCACGCCAGGGAGCCCGACGGTTGGCGTGTGGCTGTTTCTTATGGCCGTCTAGTGGGATGCAAGCACAGAGCAGCGATGCAGCCCTGTCTGTCAATTTTGGGTCGGGGGGTCGGGGTCGGGTTCAGGGGTGCGCGTGGTGCGTCGTGGTCGACGCCGGGGTTCTCTATCCAGACAGGATTTGGGATTTTGGGACGGACGGACGACTTGGGACAGGATCCAGTGTCGATGTCGTCGCGGCTGACGAGGATGAGGACGGGGGACGGCGTCGAGGAGTCAGGACGAGGGACGGAACAGAGACGGGGGGACGGGGGACGGGGATGAGGGACGGAGACGGGCTGGCGGGGGGTTGGCTCGGATCGAGGGTTCGAGAGTTTAAGAGAGGGGGGTTGTGTGTTGATATTATTATTGTTATGCTGACGACCCTGCGATGTGATGAAGCCCACGCGGCATCGGTGCTGGTGTTGCGGTGCTTCTGTGTTGCTGCTTTTGCCGCTGGTAATGTTGCTTTTTTGCTTTGCGGGCGGCAGGGCACACAAGCAAGCGTACAGGAGCAGCAGCTCAGGCAGACGCCGCAGCAGTTAGAGGCAGGTGTGAGTGAGCGGTGATGAGTGTGCGCGCGCGTGAACGAAGTGTGTTATGTGTGGCAGTGACAGCGAGGACGTGTATGTGTGTGTGGACGAAGCGATATTCGAGCGTGTATCTGAGAGTGTGCCTGTCTAATGTAGGCAGGCAGACAACCTAGTTCAGTGTGTCTGTCTGTCTGCAGTTTGGAGGTCCAAGGCAGGCAGGAAAGGAAAGGGTTCAGAGGTGTTGACAGCCCGGCGTCGATATTGCAGTGAGGCAGAGAGAAGGTATCCAATGTATTCATAGGCGGATCGGGGAGGCGCCGAGTACTTGTGCTTTGTTGAGCAAGCAACCAACAAACAAACTCGTCGTATGTAGGAAGCGGCGGCCCAGGCAGACGAGGAGAGATTGAGAGCAGTCGAGCTTAGTTCAGCTGATCGGCCATCTGTTGCTTCCATGCGCGTTCCTTTCCTTCCACGAGAACGAAAAAAAGGGACCTTTGGGGGTTGGTCCTGCGGCACGGATGAGGAGAAGCTGCGCGAGGCAGGCGCAATGGGACGGATACCGTGCAAGGTACTTTTTGACCGAGGCAGGCAGAAGGCGTCTGAGAACTTTTCGCGATGTTGTTCGTTGCTGCCTTTTGCAAGTGCTTCCTTCCTTCTTGCTCTGCTTTGCTTTCCTGCGATGACGATACAAGATGGGGGAAGCCGCCACAAACACCACACGGTCAAGAACGGTGAGATGGAAGCAAGAGCTACGGATACCTGGCCTAGCTGAGTCACCTACGGTACCTTAGGCAGATCACGTACAGATGGAGATGGATGGGGCCCCCCGGTCCAGGACAAGGCAAGGCAGAAGAGAATCATCTTCTTCACCGCATCATCAACCTGCAGCCGCTACAACCACGGCAAATCGACGTTACCGCTGCTTGCTTGCCCGTCTGTCCATCTACTTCGTAGGCACGTCGGGCACATGATGCATCATCTTGGTGAGGTCCCCGCTCTCTGGTATTCATGGCCAAAAAAGCCATTCATTGTCAACGACGAGCAGGAGAATGCATCTGTACGAATACCTGGACGTGGGATGGCACCGGGAGACAGTCTTTTGGGCAGGGCAGAATAGAAAGCACTTTCCTCGAGGCACCTTACCTTGCGGCAGGTAGCTCCAGGGGGCCCTATCGGGCTTAGCGCGCCATGCAGAGACCGGGTGGGAGAGGGGAGAGAAGGAAAGAGCAGGGGCTGACAGGCAGGGAAGGAAGGACATGGCCCACGGAAAGCACTCAGAAGACAGGACAAGACTGGGCAGTCGCATGGTGGGTCAGGCAGCCAATGGAGTGGACCTTATTTTCGGTACACAGGTTGGGCGTTTCCCTCTTCCACGTCCTCTCCTTCACAGTACGGATACCTTCCTTCACTCTCAGAGGTGAGCAGCAAACCGATGGATGCAGCTTCGACGACAGATAGATAGGTAAATACTTGCCGCTTCCTTGCCGTCTCGGTGCTTTCTTTCTCAGTTGGGACGCAATGAACGAGACTTTGACTCTATCGTCCTGCTGATGTCTGGGTACCCTCCGGTTATTCTCTCTCTGACCCGACTCAGAAATACTGCCTAATTAGAGTAATCTGAGTAAATGCTGCTGCTGCCGTGTTGCGACGACAGACACCCTGGCTGATCTTACTCATTCATCGGTCCCTCTGTGCGCATGTCTCTGTGTCTCGCCCTCTCACTCTTCCTCTCTCCTTCGCTCCTGTCACCGCAGAGCGAGCAGTGGTTTTAACCTACATACTCGGTAAGGCAAGGAGAGAAACGCAGAAGACGACTGGAAGCACACAACTCCACACTCACCCATCGTGGCGTGGGAGGGGGGTGCGTGGGCGTGGGAAAAGGGGTGTGGGCTACCAGCGCACACTCTCTCTGCTGAACCAAGCACTGTTGTGGGCACAACTAGGATCACACCCTCTTCCAATGAACGCCGCCATGGGAAGGGGTGAAGGACGTTGAGAGGGTGGGGTGTTTTCTAGCCCTGCTGGCCCTGCTGGCCCTGGCTGTCTCTCGCACGGGAAGAACAGAGCGACGCTGGAGGGGTGGGTACCCGACGTCGACATGTCATTGGACAGTCATTGGCAGACGGTGCAGGAGCACCTGGGGCCAGTACTTGCCCTGAAGTAGCACTTTCTCTGAGTACAGGTCACTTGCGAGGGTATCCGTACAGAGCAGGTGTTCCTTCCTTTCCTTCCTGCTTCCCCAAGTTGCACCTGCCTTACAATGCGCCTTCCTCGATTACACTACCTACTACCAGTCGAACCTGCCTTCACCGCACAGCGGGCTGATGAGGCACCTCGCACAGAGCAGGCAGGTGGCAGCCAAGCAGGGCAGGCAAGGCCAGGCAGAGCAGAGCAGGGCAAAGGGCAAGACATGGTGAAAAATGCCAGCCGGACACAGATACGTACCTGCCTACCTACCTCAGCATCGTGCTGGGTTTTGGCAAGCAAGCAAGCAGCAGCAGCAGCTTTCGCCATGCCGTGTCAAATCCTCCACTGCATCCAATGCGTTCGACGGACCACGGAACTACACTTACTCTACACATGCAGTCCAACAAGTCCAAGTCGACGACACTTTGACTGTCTCTCTCGCGATTCCTTTGGCAGCCAGGCTTGAGTCTTGTCAACATGA